TATATAATAGCAGTATTGATATCAATATTGGTACTGGTATCGGGTGAGACCGGCCTTGATAGTACTTGATAGTAAAAAAGATGCCATTAAACAAATATTTTGGAAATTATAATTTCTTTATGTTGATTCTACATTCATTTGTTGAATCAATGTGTAATTATTATTACAGATTTCAATGTATGTTTAATGCAATTGAAATGAATTGAGAACAGAAAACTGTAATTCAATTAAAAATGATTACTCCGTTCGCAACCCTATTTTTGTCTTGTTTTCCAGTAAATAATATCTAAATAACATTTAAATAAACATCCTTGAAACAGGATATACTTACTTGCGAAACAAAATTGCTAAAGATATTATCATTAGATAACATTTTAAACTTTAATATGTCTGATAAATCAGAGAGCAAGAGCTAGCAGAACTGTCACATTTAACTGCCCTTGACTGCCACTGCCCGGCTAATTCTGTGAAGGCGTTCAAGACATAATTCTCCAGCAATTAAACACTTCTGATGCTATTCTTTTATAGGATTCTCTAATAATCCTTGATGTGTTTTCTTTATGTGTTGAAACGAGGCATCTTTCATGTTAATGTTATGAGCACATTAGATGGAATTAGTATCTGCTGCGTTGCCTGATGCGCGCAAGCTTTTAATATTTTATCATGCTAATGTTCTAGACAGACATTAACTTGCATGTGACTGATTTCAGAGTAAAACAACATTAAATTAGAGGTATCGTTATGTTGCTTGCATGACGGCAAGAGTTTTATGATCCAGATGTTTGTCAGCATGCACAATATGAACAATCCAACACATTAGCTAAGTTTTTTTTAGATTTACTTTGACGCAAGTAACATTCAGTGAATCAAACCCATAACTTTGACTGTGCCCAGCTTTACCAGCAGTTTTTTTTTAGATTTACTTTGGTAGAGACGCAAGTAACATTCAGTGAATCAAACCCATAACTTTGACTGTGCCCAGCTTTACCAGTTGAGCTACAGAAGCATTACTAAAATAAGAGCTAATTGTCTAATTCAGAACCTATGGTTATTACCTACCACGTCTGCCTTGGTAGAGGTCACATGACCCACCTCAGGGCCCACTTTGAATTGGATACTGATGGTCCCTTTGGGGTCAAATGGCATCTGTTACTCTCCATACCATTCAATTAGCTGCATGAGCTGAGCAGCAAGTCTGACCATTTTGCTCTGGCATTGAAACGTTAAACTGAATCATTTAGAAGAGAGAAATGAAGAGTGATTCAAAAGACACAGCAGAAGTGGATTTTAAAAAAGAAACAGCTTGGGTCTGACAGATTGTTAGAGAAAGCTCACCTAACATACACAATTTTTGATAACCAGGGGCCAGTTGCATAAACATAGTCACCATTTTAAGACTGTGTCTTAAGAACTAGTTTGACTAATTAGTAATCAAGTGGTAATCAGCCTTACTTTTTGGATTTAAATTAGACAATCTACTTTTTTATGTAACCAATTTCAAAAAGTGTCTTGCAGAAATAAATTAGATGACTACATTTTAAGACTAGTCTAAGCAGTTTATGCGCAGTTTTGTTTCAGGACCCATATTTTACATTAAACAAGCCGGAATCATTTATTCAAAAAGTTATATTTATAAAAGTTAAAAAAATGTTAACATGACATAGACTGGCATAGATTGAATTTTGGTTTCTAAAACAGATTGTGGTCAGCAAAAACTGTCTGCAAATTAACCTCTATTTTATATATCCTAAGCCATATTTTATTATATATATATAT